TATAAGGAGTTTTTAAATTGGTGTTACATTAAATTTAGTGATTACATTTTTTAAATTAAAATAATAATCAAATATTTAATAACGTAATTATTTGCATGAAACATGCAAATAACAGGGTTCATACGGTCATGGACAACCTGGAAAAGTCATGGAATTTTGACATGACATTTTCCAGGCCTGGAAAAGTTTTCGAAAAGCAGAAAAGGTTTGAAACAGTCCTGGAAATTAGTTGAAGAAATATCTGTATACTTGAATTTGGGCTGCGCGATATTGGAAAAATCTGACGTTACCATGTTTTGTATTTCTGTGATGTATATTGCGATGTGAATTCAATTTCACCAGATGATTTAACAGGTTTATTTGGATTGATTGGGGGATTTTGCAGAGGAGTGAATCTCGAATAACATATAACAAGTAAATTACAAGCATAGAGAAATAAAATATAGTAAAGATAAAGGTGAATTTTAGTTTTCAGGCATTCACTGTTCAGGTACAGATATTGAATAATCAACACTGCATAGTCTTCATTGTAGCTTATTTAATCTTTCTTAAAGTTACAAAACATTTCTTATGGCCAGATGTTTTAAATGTGAAATAGGGAAATGTTCACACAGTCACAGGCATCAAAGGGACACTTTATTAAAAGATTAGAGGCTGTATTTTAACGGTCCATGCGCAGAGCGCAAAACGCAGGGCACAAACACTTTCAGGGCGAGTCAGAATGCATTTTTACTAATATAAGGACGGAAAAATCTGCCTTGCACTGTGGCGCATGGTCTAAAAGGGTTGAGTTTATTTTCTTAATGAGTTATAGGTGTGTTTTGAGAATAAACCAATCAGAGTATCATCTCCCATTCCCTTTAAAGAGCCAGTTGCGTTACGCCATTAGCGCATTTGCTATTTAAATGAGTGTAAGTGGAGCATTTCACTTGCAAGAAAACAGTTAAACAGAGCATCTACAGCACGAGAATGACAGATAAATGATCTACTTTCACTTTCGCTCTCTTGGATAGGGAAACCTTTAAGCACAGACATAAATTAGCCTATAAATAATCAATTTTGTTTGGGGGGGGGGGGGGGGGGGTTGCGCGCGTATTGAAGAGCGGTGTTGTCGCGCGCGTTCTGATAAGCTGTGTAGTCGCGCGCGTACTCAGACCGGTGTTGTCACGCGCCTACTCAAGAGCGGGACCGAGAGTGTGCCGCGTCGCGGGGGCACTTTTGATCATTTTGGAAGGGCACTTTCTATCCAAGACTAAAAAGGGCATGTGCACTGCACAGGTTGAGCCCTATGTGTGCACGTGCCTGGTTGAGCGCAAAGGTTTGTTTCAAAACTATTTCAAAATACAGTTCTAATTTCCAGCAAACTAATAAATGAACAATAATAACGAAGTGTGCTCAAAAACCTCTGAGTTATATCCTAAAACACATGCTGTGCCCCATATGGTCTAAAACCTGCAGGTGGGCAAATCTAAGCTTTGTTTTTAATAAAACAAATATAAACATGGGTATAATAAATAATACTGCTAATAATAATAACATTATACAAAAGTAAATTGCCATGAATAAACTGAAAAAGCCTTCTGAGATGAAGGTATAAAAGCAGTTATTTTTTCATATTTATGTAGGCTAGAAAAAAATATGTTTTGTAATATTTTAATCCTTTATATTTATATCCTATATATATATATTCTTATTATATCCTATATATATATATATATATATATCCTTAATGTTTGAATTTTTTTCATATATAAAGATATTTGCGTATTGCTCTACATCTTGCTTGTATTAAGCAGTAAGTAAGTGAGGCGCAACTGTCTGCTCTGGACTTTACTGGGTTTGTTTTAGTCTATTGAAAAATCTATTATAGTTTCTCAAAATAGCAACGCACCAGCAATGCGCCTCAGAACGCCTTCCTTTTTAGACTAGAATGCCTATCCGCTTGTTAAGTGGTGACGTATGTAATACTGTTTCCGGGTCCAAGCCGCCATTTATTTGAGTGGAGAAATCATTAGTTTATGATCACGTTTTATTCCCATCACACATTAAAGTAAATTTTATATAAAATCATAGTGTACAATCTCTGGGCTTGCACATAACAAATACCAAAAATTTAACAATTTATAAAAAAATGTATCACTTTCTGGCCATCGGATATTATGCATGGACATATATACTGCGATCATAATTTTCAAAAGCCTTAAATCGCTTTGTAAACGTTTATTATTACCATTTCATGAGTCTCCCCATTCAGTTGAATAGAGCGCTTGGACCTGGAAGCCGATTCGCGTGACGTCACACTTAACAAGCGGATGGGTGCACATATGAGCGCAAATGCATTTGCTATTTAAACAGCGTGGCGCAACACCTCAAAACGACTCTTGCGCCAAGCTGAAACTAGCAAAAAACTATTGTGTCGCTCCTTGCGCCACATTGCACCGAGTGTATGGGGCCCTAAAATGTACTCACTATTTACTCATGCTTCACATGTTTCAATACTATAGGAGGTAATAAATTATTTTCTTTTTGTGTTCATTTAAAAAAGAAAACTCATACATGTTTAAAACAAGTAAAGGGTGTAATGCAGGGGTGTCCAAACTAGGTCCTGGAGGGCCGTCGTCTTGCAGATTTTAGCTCCAACTTGTCTCAACACAACTGCAAGGATGTTTCTAGAAAGCCTAGTAAGAGCTTGATTAGCTAGCCCAGGTGTGTCTGATTGGGGTTGTAACTAAACTTTGCAGGACACCGGCCCTCCAGGACCGAGTTTGGACATGTCTGGTGTAATAAAAGTGCTAAGTAATTTTTGGGTGAACTTCCTCTTTAAAAATGGATGAAGATGATAAACTTTTAGTCCATTATGATTAAACTCTATATTAAACTATAATGCCAACATTGCATATCCTGCAATGTGACTACTGCGGATGCACACATTGCAATATCGATGCTATATTATGCGATATTATGCAGCCCTAACTTGAAAATAGGTTGGTTGTCTTGACTTCTTTTCTGTCCTTGGCCGAAAACTTGCTCCCATTCATATTGTTAGTGCTAGGGAAGCATTATTAAAATCAATTTTACGTGGATATAAAACTATTTAAAACCATTTTTTGTTTTTTTGTTGCTTGGTTTAGATGCTGTATTAAATTTAGAAGTCATTGTTTTTCTTATTTTTTACCATGTATATGTAGAATTTTATGAAACATTCGTCATGAAAATGTACTTGAAAGTTCTGGAAAAAGTATTGGAAAAGTCATGGAATTTTAGTAGTAAAAATGTGTATGAGGGTGGCGCAGTAGGTACTGTTGTCGCCTCACAGCAAGAAGGTCACTGGTTCGAGCCTCAGCTGGGTCAGTTGGCATTTCAGTGTGGAGTTTGCATGTTCTTCCCACGTTAGCGTGGGTTTCATCCGGGTGCTCCGGTTTCCCCCACAGTCCAAAGACATGTGGTACAGATAAATTGCGTAGGCTAAATTGTCTAGCGTGTGAGTGAGTGTGTGGATGTTTCCCAGAGATGGGTTGCAGCTGGAAGGGCATCTGCTGTGTAAAACATATGCTGGATAAGTTGGCGGTTCATTCCGCTGTGGCAACCCCAGATTAATAAAGGACTAAACCCAAAAGAAAATGAATGAATGAAAATGTGTAAACCCTGAAATAAATAAAACAATTGATTAAAAATAATCAAATAATTTTAAATCTGATTTACACTTTTATCAATTAGTCCAGATAATTAAAGACTTTATAGTCTTTAATACTTGATTAAAGTTCATTCATTAATTTTCTTTTCGGCCGTGACGCCTATTACTTGATTAACTTGGATTATTTAATCTTTTCAATTTAATAAAAAGACTGAAGAATTCAAATATATAATCTTAAATAGCGAATTGATGAATAATAAAATTGTGATTCAAATAAGCAAGATATGGATAAGTAAAGAAAAGCAGTAAACTAATAAAAAAAACTTTTCAATTGAAAAACTTTATAGAAACTAAATATTGTCTGATATTTTTGACCCACTCATGACATGATTTCATCACAGTATATGAACTGGGTCTGTTTACTAAACAACACTGAGATTTTTATTATATTTTAGGATGGGGTTTTGTGCATGCATGATGACGACAATAAATATTTTGTGTGTCCATGGCATTTAATAGATTATTTAATAGATTAAAAACCTAGCTAATTATTAAAGGATAATTTACTAGATAAAGTATTCCTCTATTTATTTTTAACATTTGCATTAGATAGTGCCAGAATATCCCCATGATTCCTAATATGCATGAAATAAAGCTGTATCTTACTAGATCTTGTATACTACACTGATACATTTGCAAAAAATTAATTCCAAATGCAAATTTCCCTTTGAAAAGTGTTTCAAAATATGAGACACAAAACTGTGACATTGGATTAATGATTCTTTTCAGGTTTAAAGCAACATTATAGAGATTGTTCACAAAAAAAAAGAAAGTTAAACCGTCATTTACTCATGCTTTTTTTCAAAGCTGTTTTACTTTCTTCCCAATGTTGAACATTAAATATATTTTGAAGAAACTTGGACACCTTTTAATTACCATTGAATTGTCAAACCTAACCATTGCATTACATGGTATTTGTTTTTCCTCCTATAAAGTTACAGGATTTCAGATTTCTTCAAAATATCTCCTTTGTGTTCAACAAAAAGAAACTAATAAGGAACCACGTGGGGATTAGTACATTTTCATTTTTGGGTGAACTGTCCCTTTACAATGAGTAGTAAATAGTAAAAGGTATTAATTTGTGTGCTGTTGTATTAAGCTTCACATAGCGTTACTTGCAACATATCTAGAGCCTTATATGATGTTTAATGCTGATATGCAGATTGAGATGATATATATTATTAAAAATGCTGATCGGGAAGAAAAGCAGGGCAAGGCAGCCGCAGCACCGCCCAGCGCGTGTCCTTCCGCTTGGCGTCTCCTCTCCGTCTGCGCATGCACGAGTATGTGCTGATGACCGATGTGGGGGAAAGAGACGGCGCCATATTAGAAGAGATCTTATTGTTATTCTTTGTAAAGATACCATATTTCATCATAGCAAGTAGCTTTATTTGGTGAACGTGTATAGGTTCAACAGAGCTAACCTCTTAATACCGCCTGAGGGAGCTATATAAATTCTCCACGTCGTTAGCGTAAGTCCTGTTTAAATATGTCTGGCGGTGTAATTCGAGGGCCTGCAGGGAACAACGATTGTCGGATTTACGTGGGTAATTTACCCCCTGATATCCGCACCAAAGACGTCGAGGATGTGTTTTATAAGTACGGGGCCATTCGGGACATCGACCTTAAAAACAGAAGAGGAGGTCCGCCGTTTGCTTTCGTGGAGTTCGAGGACCCGAGGTAAACACACAGTCTCAAACTTGCACTGTTCCTGTGTTTATCGGTTTGAGTTCGATGTACATAAAATACATAATGTTAAGTATTTAATGCTTTACATTGCCTTTTGTCTATTCGCTAGCCTTTTAAATAAATCCAGTAACGTTAGCGTTACTTTTATACTAGGTGCGCGAAGTTGTCTTGTCAGTAGGTCATATCATAACAAGAAAGTAACGTTAAAATCAGTAATGTAACGTTCAGCAGCTTGATCAGAATTCATTATGCCGAAGGCTGCAATTGATCAAAACTTTCACCCCGTTAATCTGTTTATTTGGCCTTTGTGTCATTTTCTTTTGTGTAAAAATTCGTTTTTGCAATAGACTAAGAATCAGATTTGGATGATATAAACAGTTCTGTAGATAGTAAGTCAGAATTCTTAGGAAAGTAAGAATTTATGAACATTTGAAAAAGAAGTAACGTCAACTTAAGAAATGCAACATGGAAATTCAGAGGAAAAGAGTTATTAGTGATATTAACACACAATTATGATGATAAGAATTATGAATCAAACTCTGCATTAGTATAAAATGAAATAGGCGAAGAATCCCAAATACTAATGAATTGATTGTTATCTCATAATTGTGATGAGATAAGAACATGATAAATCCAATATGCCAATTTTTGGTAAAACTAAAATTACAAGTTGAAAAAGTTTTTAATAAATAGAAATGAAAGAACAAAACTCATAAGTAGTCATTCTGTGAAAAAAATTAATTGTGAATAATATAAACATATTGAGGGGAGTAAATTGTAAATGTGAGAATCATTTTCAATTTCTAAATCATTCTGTGTATTTGGAGTTAGAATAAAAGAATTCTCACAATCTTAAATGTATAGGCTTTCACAATCCTGACTATTTGCTTTAATCGATTTTTACTAATGTCTTTCTTTGTTGGATCTTGCCACTATGTGTTTGAAATATATATATATATATACATACAATTTATACAAAATAGATACAATTTAGTGGTTTCTGAAATTGTTTTCTTGATTTTTCAGACTTGTAAATTGACCAGTTTTATCATTTCTTTGTTCAAATACAGCCAATATTTTAAATGGCAATTTGGCTTCTGTCTCTGACAAGTTCGGTCTCATAGCAAAAAGCATTTATGCACGCTCGTGTGTGTCAACCATAAAGAATTTAAAATCCATATTCAATCCGTTGATTGTTTTCTGTGTCCGCAGAGATGCAGAGGATGCTGTATATGGACGTGATGGCTATGACTATGACGGCTATCGTCTTCGAGTGGAGTTCCCAAGGAGTGGCAGGGGAGGTGGAAGAGGTGGAGGTGGAGGTGGTGGAGTTGGAGCTCCCAGAGGCAGATACGGACCTCCATCCAGGCGTTCGGAGTACAGGGTCATAGTGTCAGGTGAGCGCACCTCCAGTTTCTCACATCAATGTCTTGTTTTTCACACTCAGTTTAATTACTAGGCCCGAACAAGTGTTTGAGTGTTTTATTGGTTTAATAGCATGTTCATGATTGCATTAATATCAGAAACATTTTACCAAACCTTTTTTTTTTTTTTAAAGCAGACTTGGTTGTGCTTCATGAGTGTGTCCCTGACTTTGTAAAAAATCTTTTCTTCCAATATATTGCCAAGACTTACATTATATGATGTTGCAAAAAGTACTAGTTTTATTTTGACAGTTTGGCTAATTACTGACTGAACTTTTGGTTGCATTTTGTTTCTACACTTTCTAATTTGTGAAAAAATATTAGTAGTTATATAGAAGCAATAACTTGCTCTTTGAAGTCAAAATTTGTATTTATTTTTAATCAAGTTTAATTGTCTTTTTTTATTCATTGTTGTTTATTATTTATTTAAAATATGCCAATCAGTTATTAAAAAAATTGTTATTGAAACTATTATGTTTAGAAATGTGTTGTAAAAATCTTCTCTCCGTTCAAAAGAAAATAGGGAAAAAATAAACAGGGGGGCTGATAATTCAGGGGTGCTAATAATTCAGGGATGCTAATTCTGACTTCAACTGTAAATGTGCTGTATTCTGACCAACCTGCTCCCTAGGTCGCAAACGTAGTTGTGATTGTACAGCATTTTTCGGCTTCCACGGCCAGGGCTTTTCTTCTTTTTATGCGCTCCCTCTCTACTCCTCCTTTCTGTTTACGTTCCGTGTTTTTGCCTGACTGAAGTTTTAGCTAGTATCATAAGTTATATGCAAATAGCTACGTCGCTGAAATGATTGGACCTTATGGTAATCGCGCTCGCCTGATTCGTGATTTGAGGTGTCCATCAGGCTGCAAGCAGCCTATGGTATGTCGAGGTGAGGTAATCGGCGGCAGGCCAGACTGACCGTCAGGCCACCGGGAAATGTCCCGGTGCTCCTGATGGCCAGTCCGCTATGGCGAGTGGATAGTGCCACGGATAACCGAACTAAGGAGACAATCTCGCCATAGTCCGCCCCTGCCGCTCTTCAGGGACGTTGTGCGCAACTCACCCCTACCGCTCTTCATGTACGTCTCGCGCGCACATGCCCCTACTCGGATACGTCACTCACTCAACCCCTGACACACACAACGCGCCGGAGTGACTCCCCTCAATTTCAACACACATGATCGACCTGGATAGCCTGGAGATGCGACATTAATTCTTTTATACTGAAACTTGCCTTTAAAAAGTGCTTCCTTGATCTTATCCATGTTTATTTGCATGTTGAACACACGTCTACCACAACAGGAAGTAAAAAAAAAACCTGCAACTGCGTTAATTTTTTTTTACGCGTTAATTATTTCAAATTAATAGCATGCGTTAACGCGTTAATTTTGACAGCGCTAATTTTTTTTGACATGTTTTTACTTTAATGATTCATGATAGATACGAGTAGGAATGAAAATATGAGTACATTAGGATTAAAAAAAACTACACTGGTCTTACAGTTCAGTTGCGATTATGTCTTTGTTTTGGTTTGATTTGTTATGGTGCATCACAATGTATTACATTTACAATTTGTAATTCAGAATAAATACACAAAGGGGAGTACTAAAAGTCAACTCGACAGATCTCACAGTTGCTACTGATGTGTCCTGCGATGAGAATAGAGGCCAAACCTCGACACACATATACGGCCACAGGTGTCACACTTAAACTGGCAAAACATAGTTCGGTTGTCTACTGCTGCCATAATCCGCTTGGACTCAAATAAATGTATAGCAGAATGGCACTGTAATCGCCATGTGGTCTTCTCTAAGATCACCTTTTCAAGGTCATGCAGGTCCATATTGCACCATTTTAGATTGAGATTACGTTTTCTCAATTCAAATGAATAGCAACTTAGACCCGTAAACACAATTCCATACATCATGACTTAACAAGCAGTTAGATAGCCTGTATTAGACAAATGAAGCATTTGAAGGCCATGTCTATCAGCTAATTCGAGAGAGGAAAGAAAACGTTACCTCACAGAGATATGCCACCAGGTCAAATGGTGAGTGAAACAGTGAGAGAAAAGCAGAGATGAAGCTTTACAATATATGCTTTAGTTTCCTCCCTAGTAATGAAATAGGGGTCTTGAGTTTTACTATACCTTCAGTTTCAGTTAAAGACTGCCCCAGCAAACTCGCAGTGAATTGCCTTTTGCATTACTCACATTTGCATTTGGCTTCTCTCACCATTGTTTGCTACTGTGACACAAATGACTATAAATGTATGCTATAACCGGTTATAATCTATTACTGAACCGAATGGTCTGTGACAATTAATATTGACATCCCTAGAGTACATGAACATTATAGTTTTCCTTTGCTATGAACTAAGTAGGCAATCACTGTTTTTTATGTATAAATAGACCATAAATTAAATTGCAGAAGCTTAAGGTATTATTTATTACTTATCTTTGCTATTAACAATATGTTCAATGTCAGTTTTATATTTTCGCTTCATATATAGACCAATACAGGCTTATGGCAGATTCTAAATATTTTATTTGGTAACTTGCATTAGTTCTTGTGGCCTCATTACTATGATTTATACTTGCTTGTTTTATTTCAATCACATTATATGAATTATTAAGAAATTACCACCTTTAAACATAAAATATTTACGTTACGTTTGACGAAATTGGGCAGTATAAAGGCTCCTACACACCGGGACGTTTTTAGTTTGCGTTTACGTCAGTGTTTTACGAGACGTTTTTCAGTGTTCAAACCCAAGCGCTTTTCACTGGCGTCAAGCTGAAGAGTATGCTAAATCACTCTTTTGACGTTAGATGGTGCTGCACAACTTTAAGCTTCTGACATCAGCTTATAACACAGAAGAAGAGGAGGAGAGGAAGTTCGCACGTTTGTTTATAAAGTTACTGGTGACTCGAACAAGCATAGATGGTTCAAGCAGCAGCTCTAGCGATGAAGAAATTATTAGTGTTCACAGAGCAATAAGCAGCTCCACGTTCATATGGCCTCTTGGCATCTTCTTCAATGTGCGCTCGCATTGACAGTTTTGTGCTTGAGCGCCTCCAAGTGCTGTTTACAGTAACTTCAGCAGCTTCGTGCACGTGAGCAAAAGTGCCAATCTGATTGGTGGAGAAGGTTTTGACGCCACGTGTCAAAACAAAAAAAAAACGAGCATGAGGCATTTTATTTTTTTTAATGATGCTTTTGCGCCTGGCGTTTTGCTCGTTGGTGTGCACAATTACATTGACGAGGCGTTTTTTTTTTTTAAATGACACTTTTGCATCTGGCGTTTTGGGCGTTGGTGTGCACAATCACATTGACGCCCTTTATTTAGTTACGAGGCGTTAAACGTCGACAGAAAACGCGAGCAAAAAACGTTGCAATGTGCACGAGCCTTAATACATGCTTTCTAAGATATTAGCCCCTTTCACACATACAGACCTTTCCGGAAAATTGCCGGCAATTTTCCGGAAAGGTTGTATGTGTGAACGGGTCCTTTTTGAAAATACCGGTAAATTAGTTCTGGCTATTTTCCGGAAAGAGAAGTTGTAACATTACCGGCAATTTGCTGGAATGCTGCGCTGTGTGAATGCAGAAGGAAGATTCCCGTAATAAGCGTGTGCATGTCTAGAACGTGCTGACGTGAGACGTCTGCTTTAGCCAATCACAACAGTCAGACGCATTTACGTCCGCGCGGTTTGTGAGGATAAAAGCCTTTGAATATTTTTCCAGACACATTTAGCTGCTAGAAGTTTGTCAGATCACGTTTATATGTTCTTCTTAATGCCAACTGTGTAAATAATCATCAATGAGATGCTTATGATAAGCCATTGTTTGTTTACCTTCAAGCTTTGCGTGCGCCTATGAGCGCCTGCACACGTACATATTATGAACATCTCGACATGCGAAAGTGATCCTGCGAAAGTTGTTCAACAATATTGGTCATCCACAGAGTTTGTAATTTAGTCAAATGTTTACAAATACAAGCGCAGCCGTATAAAAGCTCATTTGTGGTGAATGATGTCAGAATTTACCGGTATTTTGGAATGAATGTGTGAATGCTCTTTTCCGGAAAATTTCCGTAACGTCCTCGCCTGTGTGAACAGCGCTTTTTTCAATATACCGGTAAAGTCGTTCCGGAAATTTTCCAAAAATTTACCGGTATCACTGTGTGAAAGGGGCTATTGTCACTGACAAAAAATCCATATTTGTTTACCTAAATGGCATTTAGGTCATCCAAGCATACCAAAAGCTGCAGTCAAATGCATCTGTTTCACTTATTCACCAAAGTTCAACTTCATAGTTTAAGTTAGTTAGCTGTGTAGTCCTTCTTTTATGAGGGGAATTAGGCACTTTTATTAAATGTTTAAATGTTTTTCTTTTCTGTTTTTTCCAGGACTTCCTCCTAGTGGCAGCTGGCAGGACCTTAAGGATCACATGCGTGAAGCAGGTGATGTATGTTATGCTGACGTTTTCCGAGATGGCACCGGCGTTGTGGAGTTTGTGCGCAAAGAAGACATGACCTACGCCGTTCGAAAGCTGGATAACACTAAGTTCCGGTCACACGAGGTAGGTGTGAGTTTGTAAACATAGACCGCCATTGGAAAGGACAGGACAGGACAGGGCATAGCTTAAGGATTTGGGAATATCAAGGTAAGCTTGATGTCAGAGACCCATTGATGGAGCCACATGGACTAGGAGGATTCATGGAATAGGTCTTTTGAATGTAAGTGATTTTATCAATGGGCCACATACTAAAGGACTGTAACTTTATGTGGCACTAAACCTGAGAACGCCTAAATCTGTTTTAGATTCACCAAGTGAGCCATGATTTAGGAGTTACCCAAGATGTTGTAGTTCTTCGTTAGAAAGTGTCCTGTTATGTGTTCCTCAGGGGGAGACTGCGTACATTCGTGTAAAGGTGGATGGCCCGCGCAGCCCCAGTTACGGGCGCTCGCGCTCTCGCAGCCGGAGCAGGAGCCGTAGCCGAAGCAACAGCCGGAGCCGCAGCTACTCTCCACGCCGCAGCAGAGGATCTCCACGATACTCGCCCCGCCACAGCCGTTCCCGCTCCCGCACCTAAACATCCACACCCCAGCTGTCGGCTGGCCACAATCATACACACCCTGTGTCGCCCTCTATTGGACCCACTGTTGTACTTCATTGCTCTCTTGACTCGTTTCCGTCTCTTTCCCCAGTTTGCTTTCTCTCATCTTTGGTTTGTTGGGTTTTTATGATTTGACTGTCATTTTGCCAATGGCAGCTACACGTGGTGTAAGTGGATGCTCCCCTTTCTCCCCTTTCCTTTCCCGTCAGTTTTTATTTTTATTTTTGTCGTCTCCTAAACCATGACCCTGTTGTGTCTTTGTCTTGCGTTCTCATTTTAATTGGATCTTCATACTCATCCCTTGTACTATATTTGACACAAGGGACTTGTTGAAATGCTTTAAATAGTTGTATGTGTGACGGATTATTCTGCTACTGTTTTTTTTTTTTTTTTGTTAACAATGCTTCATTAATTGGGATGGGGTCATTTTTTTGTTGGAAAACTGTTCTACTTTTACCTTTTCATGTCTTTCTATAGACAACAGAAGAGCAGGATTAAAGAAAGCTTTGGAATAAAGGATTTTGAAGCACAGTTCATTCATATTAGGATATGTGGAGGAGGAGGAGGAGCAGGCATTTCATTTAAGGAGGCAATGGTATGACGGCAAGCAGCTTTAGTCACATTCAAAAAGGCAGTTGATGTTTTTCTACAGACTTCCAGTATTCTGGATTTTCTTAGTTCAGTAACACATTAGTTTTGCTTTGCCATTCTTCCTCCCTTCACAGCACTCCCCTTCCTCATTTAATTTACCTTTTTCTCACTGGTCATCGCTGCTAAGCATGCATGTGTACTGTCTGGATGTTGCAATGCTTGTGCGTACATTTAAGACCGTGTTTTGTTCCTTGTTTTTCTTTTGGATGTTTGAAATCCAAAAACATTTTTGCCTGTTGTCCAAAATGTGCTGGGATTTGGCCTTTATTGATCTTCCATGTAGATTTATCATTAGACAGCTGCAGTCGTTCTCATGTAAATTGTGTATTTGTCAAGAGAAAGTATCTGTTTTATTTCCTATCTTAGTTTTCCAAAGAAATAAGCACAATTTAATGTGTTTAGGCGGTGCTCTAAATTTCTTCCGGAGCATATCATCATAGTCTGGTATCCTTTTTGTCATTAACATAGAAATAAAAAAAAGAAAGACAAATACCGCTCCTATTATTAGTTAATGACAGCTTTTAATAATAGACGCTCTTCATATAGTTGTGATTCTAACTTGTTACCTCCCTCTTTTTGGTTTTGCCGGTATTCAAAGGTTTGGAGGAGGGGCTCACTGTGTCCCGATCCTTGGAGCCGGATCATTGGATCAGTTCAGGATCAGGATTAGCATTAGGATAAGGATGGATACATACATGGAGCGGGATCAATTTACCGGGAACGGGAACCATAGGAGAGGATCCCAACCCCAGCCCCGCATCCCCCCACCAAACCACATTTAAAGGATACCTGACGTCGTAATTGGCTTCTCTAGAACCAAATTAAATTTTTTTTTTCTTTTTCCGTGGAGTTCCCATGATGTGGGCAGAAGGGATCCAGGCGCCTCTTTTGTTTTTGTGAGATGAGTTTTTCGATTATAAAAAAGGAGCAGAGCAAGGAACCAGAAGGCTGGATCAGTTGCTTTGGATGGAATCCGCATGAGGAGCGTGGTAAATAGAGGGGTTATAAATTCGTGGGAGGGTGGGAAAATAGGCACATTTTGAGGGGGGTGTTGTAGTTTATTTAGGATTTCCCAAAAAAAAAAATTTACTTTTCAAGTAACATTCGTTGGCATTTGCTGTGTTGGCAGTGGTGTTTCTTTTCCCCCACAATTGGCTACTTTATATTTCTAGATTGTAGTGTGTTAATTTTCTCTTTCACTCTTCTTTAAATAAAGATTGAATGTTCAATGAATGTTTCCCTTGCTTTTTCTTTTATCTTTAGAAATGAGTATTGAATCTTGCACAATAAAGGTATAAACATGAAATGTCCACATTAAACAGGTCCGTAGCTGGGGGGTTTGAGTGATTCAGAAGACTCACCCCTCACTAACAAAGGTCCAGAATGTTTTGTCCTAATCATGAGCTCGTTTGTTTGATGGGTTATTTCCAAAATCAATCGAAAAAGACCAAGCAGAATGCTGTCGGTACTGATTTGGGACCCTAATTTGGCACTGCATGACTCCCCACGCCAAATTCAACAACCCAAATTCTGACTGAGGAATAATTAATGTGCTGTGCTGGCGTGTCCTTTGTTTCCTAATGATATATGATGCAGTACATTTGTATTTTAAAAATAAGTACTGCTTTCATATTTCTTTATTTTAAATTTTTAGGCACATCAGAAATCTAACAAGCTAATTCAGCTAAAAATAGTGCTTAAAATGTAGTATTTAAATCTCATTATTGAATATAAAATGAGGTGAATGTCTGCAAAAGGTCCACTCCTTTCACCAGGCTGGCTATGAGCCTCTTACATTTATAAAGCTAGTTTATATGTTGATGCAAGTGTCTACTTCATGATTTCTCTTGCGTTGTATTCTCATTAAGCTGTAACAGATGTGGTTATGTAAAAAAAAGCATCTTTATTCTGATCAAAGATGACAATTGTATTATGTTTTAATGAATAAGAACATCTTGCTAACAAAAGTTTGTGTAATGGTTTGTAGGATAGTGTCAAACTATAAAGAATTAAAAAGAAGATTGTTTGGCATTTTACAGCATGATCAGTGGTATTTATACACATACCTTTCTCAGCATGTAAAGTACACCTCTCATAAATCTATCTTTTAAATTCATATTTTTAATATGAAGTTATACAAAATTATATTTGTGCATATACATTAGATTAGTCAGTACTGAAGCCAAATCTGGAGCTTATCTAACAAAATAACCTGCGATAATGGTCCAAAAGCTAGTGCACCCAAATTTAGATGTTATAATAAAATATTTGATACATATTTTAAAAGGATTTTTAAAAATCAATAGAAGCAAAAAATGTAAAAATGTTGTTGAAATTTTATAGTTTGTAAATTATTTTTTAAATATTTAGCTTGATATTTAATTGTATTATCTTTCAATTTCTAAATATGTTTGGCGACAAATATTATTTTAATAAATATGTTTAGTAAATCTGTTTTTAGTAATGCACCAAAATACACTGCCCAAATTCACTGAGAGATGGATAAAAATATTAATTTTCAAAATGGGGTGAAATGAATTATGCTGAGCACTGTATACATGCATGGCAGCAATTTTAAAGTACATAAACTGTTCACACTGACATTTTAGTTCACACTGGAAATTATTGTAAATGTATGACATGATAAAATGCGATTTATTTAGTGTACTCTGACCTGTAGTGTAAATAATTTAATAATTGTTCAATAATAAGTAGCTTTTATTTTGTCTTTGTAGACTAAAGACAAGTCAAGATGCAAGAATATAACTTGCATAAATGGTGAAGCTGCTGTTGGTTAATTCTAGTAAGGAAAATGTACTTAACATTTGCCCATGATAACATCTAAAATGTGGGCAGTCAGAAGTATTTTGCTATATAGAACGATTTTTTTTTCATTTAGACTAATTGGCAGTTGTGTCAAACTAAGAAGTAATATAAATTGGTCAGTTCACAAATGTGAACAATAAACATAAGGAAATCCTTTTCATAAACCACTAAATCGCATCCAACCTTGTATTTTACAGTGTGGTAAACAAATGGAGTAATATTAAACCTCACAGGAATCGATACCTTTGCCCTCAGGATGTAGGACTGTGAATCCAGACGGGCCCAGGTGCATTGTGGGCCGAAATAAAATGCGGGCAGTGTGAAGCTAGTGGAAAACGCTCGTAACACGCGGGGAGAGGCTCGGCGTCCGCCAATCAGAAGGCCGGTGCAGAGCGGTGGGCGGGGCTTTCTCAGGTTTCGTGACGCGAAGTTGGCTGTGAGTTACGAGCGCCGCCGCATGGGTTGAGTTACGGCTCAAATAGTGGCTAGTGAAGTCAAGCGTGAACAGCGGCTCTCAAAGCCTTATCTAAACAGTATTCCAGTGTTAAAAGCATCAAAAGAGGGTGAGCACTGTTTTTTGCCTACTATGCATGACCATATCGCTCGAGAATAAAAATAATGCATTTCAATATGTACATGAATGTGGGGAAGTTTACTAATTGGTACTGTATTCAAATGAAGCATCGTGGACGCAGCTCTAGCGGCTACCTGTACTTTGCAGCAATTCTGCTTCCCCGTGTAAATCATTATTGTTGTAATAGTCGATTTTTTGAGAATCTTTTCAGAATGAATAATTAGGGCGGTGGCGTGCAATGAAAGTTAGAAGTGCTCGGCGTCTGAAGAAAAAATGTTACGTAATTCTGCCAATCATGAGCGAGCTTTGAGAGCAGATGCTGAAAGAGGAGAACATCATCATCACCACCAACGTATGGCTCTGATGGACTGATCTGAATCCAGCCGAAGTCTCTTTAATTTTGACATGACTGTACTTGGGTAAAAGTTGCATATTTTTGCTTTGTAAAATTGGCCACAGCTCTCAACAAATAGTTCTCTCAGCCTTCTATGATTGCCTCTCCATGACCTTATCAAAGGCAGACACCTGTGCTGTGTAAATTATTAATTGCACTTCACAGCATAATTTAGTTTCATTCTGCCCAATACAACTTAAAGCACCTTGATGCCTGTGTAACTGTTTAAGATCTTTAGTTATTTTATATATCAATTTAAAAGCACAGTATAGAAGTTTTTACCATAACAATATTTACACACACACACACACACTAGAACAGTGTTATATAGTTACTTGAATACTTTATCAAATATGTTTTGAAGAATGTTCAAATTCAGGGAAATAAACTTTTGACTAGTGACATTATGATGTCATACACCCTCGATTTTTAATTGATTTTATAGAAAACGGGGAAACGCCAAAGATACTTAAATATGTTTAATATTAAGCTTCCCAGAGCCACATTATAACAGAATCCTAAAATAAATATTGTATGACTGATCGCTGATTCTTCCCCACATGTTCATGACCAGAAGAATCTAAAGCGGTGGACTGTGGCATATTAAAAAATCATTTGTTTTTGTGCTGCTTTGCGCTCATCTCTCGTCAGTAATTGCTTCAGCATCCTTTTTTTGTTTTGAAAGCTTTCAACCTTATGGGCCGTTCACACCAAACATCATTTTCGGCTCTGCTCATTTTTAACGCGAGGCTTGCCACACTGCTTTTTTGTTTACTTTAGAATAGAGCAGTGTGCTGCATTTTTTATGTTGCTAAGCAACCGGTTTTGGTGCTGGAGCACATGACATTGGGTGTGTTTTCAACTGCAGGCGCACAGAGCGCTCCATCAAAAATGCAAGGTGTCTGGTGTGCATATACAGAGTGTAAAACGCTCGCTACCTATAATAAAAAACTATTTTAACACCAAAGCCATTTAAAAAGAAAAGGTGCCTCTCACTTAAAATAAACACTTTCTCTGTTATTGAGGCTATACACTGCTTCATTTAGCTCATCCATGAATATTATTTCAACATGAGTATTGTAGGATGTATTGAAGACAGCAACTCCCATAATTCCACTCTGTCACAGCTTCATCAATCAAAATTATTGTCTCTTTAAACGATCTGATAATCAATTTGGCCAATATTTTTGCAGATATTCTTGATTTTATTTCAGTTATCATGTATGCTGATGAAAGGGGGAAATAATCTGTTTGTGAACATTCAGAATTTATATATTTGGCTTGTCAGTAATAGTAATGGTTATTAAACGAATTATATTATAAAAAATATTTTATTTAATATATTTGTCAGAAAGCAATTCAGTTATTGTACTTATTGGCAATAGGGTATATGCGGAAGGACTTTTAATTTATCAGTAACCTGGCTTAAGTGCTTCCGGTGAACTCTATGCCATTACAAAATTGTTGTGTTGAAGTTTGTTTTCTATAAAAAATAGCAATTTTCACGGCCTGAGTGGTATCCAATTTAAAGTGACTCTCAGATTGTACAAAAAGCACTGCATTAAATAGCATTTTCCCCCGCCATGTCTTCAGAATATGAACATTTATTTTACCCCAGTATATTCAATAGAGCTTCTCCGCTCGCCTGCTAATCTTGCCGGGCGCTTGCGTGTAAACGGCTTATTCTCATTTAACGTTTTAGCAACTAAATGAACTTTGAAGTCTATTTAACTGATTATATTTTAATTATATTACAACATCAATACTGTAAAACGAGAAAAAGACACATTAACCATTCACCTGAAGTATATAAGTATGGAAAGATACATTAGCTCTGCATATATTCTATTAAACAGTCTAACTAATAGCCCAACCCAAACTTACAAGATTAGTTGAGCTCTACTACACTTTTTAATTATTTATTTATTTAGAGTGTACCAAATTGTGGTACTTTTAAATAAGTATGAAGAGTTACGCAAATATAGTAGAAATTGAAAGTAGTGATCTGTACACACACTATGGCTAATATTGCACACATCACACTGTACGCTGGACACTCAAGCTTGATTAGAACTACAACCATAAATATGTGTTAAACTACAAACATGGTGTTAAACCAGACCAACGGGTAATTGGAGAGACTTGGGTAAAGGGGTTTGAATTGTGAATATCTAACCCTATGAAAAATTGTTTTGTGTTATATTTCATCGGCAACATTAATTTTAACAATGACACTGTTGGTCATCTCTTGAATAATATTTATGCAAACTCAAGAGAATTCTCTACAGGAAAGACCTGCGATTGGGAGATTACTTCATCTCTGATATGATAGGAAATTAATTTATAAAAGAAGTGTGGAGGATGTGATAAGATGATTGACAGGGCAGTGTAACTAAGCAACAGAACGTTCAGTTAATGACCCGGTATTTTAATGCCTGCTCTTATTACATACTCAAGTACTACAAAAAAAATTTGTATATACTATTAGGGCTTGGTATAAGAAGTTGGTGCTGCAGTAAAATGTAAATGGTTTCAATTCACTTTATTTTGCTATGCAGAAGTAAGCTCTTTTCTGTGATTGGTTTAGGTATACCAATTAAATTACAAATTTGAGTAAATGACTATGAATAATGAGTGACAGTAAATTAAAATTGCAATTAAAATAATATAAGAAATTGCCAGTTGTGAAATAATTTAAATTATACGAAGAAATTAATTTTTAAAAGAAGATGAAAATGATTGAGATCAGAAGTCTTTGCATTCAAGTATGACCCCTGTGTGTCATTGGTCAAACAAATAGTCCCGTCCCCCACCTTTTGTGATTTTGGTTAAGCCATTTTTTTTTGTTGTTATTTTAGTGAGTGCCACATTGTTTGAACCATTCAGAAAGTTACCCTACAAAAATGTGGGCAAACACTCTATTCAAACCTGTACTTGGCATTGTAATTGGATTGGAAAAAATGCATCCTAATACCAGGTGCGAACAGAGCCCCTGTTGCATATCCGTTTGGCCGGTTTAGTTTAATTTCAGTAAATATAGCTGAATATTCCTGTGCTTTCTCATACATCCTGCTCACTGAATGGATTTCATCAGGTCTTTCCCTCTCCTGGGTCCAACACTGAGTGCCTGAGAGTCTTTTGCATGGGAATGTGATTGAGGTGGCCTCCTTTTTGTCAAATCATGACTGCACGTTTCCTTTTTAGTAGATGCACTAGATCCTTAATAAGCTGATTGAAAAGATATGACTCTGTAAACTCACACAGGTCCCAGAGCAGACCGCTTACTGTATTTGCCTTTAAAAGATGTGACGAGCAGCAATAGTGGCTTGGGAATGGATTTATTTTGTTTGTAAATGAAGGCTGCGTGGGAATATTCACTGTTTTTGACATTTATTTTCTGCTAAATATAAGCAACAGGCTCTTGAGGTGTGTATGTGAACACCAACAGTTTTTACATTGGTTTTCCTACATGGGTTGACTCAGTCAACTTAAAAAAGACTTGCTAATAATAATATTAAACTTAATCTTATACAGTGTTTTTTAAAAGTAGCATCTCATAGCGTTTATATACAGTAGAAAATAGCAAGGTAAATGCATGCATAACTAAATAATAAAATCTAAATTTTTATCATATAAAAGCTATCCTAAAAAGTATGTTTTGACTGTTTTAAGAGTACTCGGTGATCATGCGTTTCAATGATGAAATATAACACTGAAAAGGCAATTTTATTTTATTATTTCTTTATTTTATTTATTTTTTAAAATATTTTTAAATATACCCAAACTTATCTTGATATAATTCACGTTGTTGCAGATAAAATATAACACTGAAAAAGCTTTTTTTATTTAATTATTTTTTTTATTATTATTTTTTTAATTAATTTGTTTATTTTTTTGTCTATTAATTTATAATCATTCAAACAACTTTATCGAAGCCTCTCTACTTGACAGTTGGTCTCACTCATCCATCATTTTTATTGTTTACCCGAGTTTGTAGTTCTAATCAAATTCACATCCAACGCGCAATTGTGGACAGTATTTGTGGTCAGAGTAATGGACAGTTCTACAATTTAAAGTAAACCATCCGGGCACCTTTAGCATACTCTTCAACATACTACGCAGGGTTCAACGCTTGGGATTTTTTCTACTGGGCCGATAGGGCTAGTGGTTGAGATTTTTACTTGCCCTGCCAAAGTTTTCAGTGGCCCCACCAAAAAAAAAAAAAAAGTTAATAGCTAATTCTTAGCCACATATTTTAAATAATGTGGCAAAAACAATGTTTGTGAATCTAAAATTTAAACATTTTGAAAATGTTTATAAATGTATAATGAGCTAAATTCAAGATTTTATGCAAACGAAAGAGCGGTATGGAAAATGTGCTGCTATTTTATTGTAATTCTAAATTATTTTTATAAAAATGGCTTAACAGATTGATGAGTTTTTTTTTTCTTCTTAATTTTGTACCCATGTTATTGTCTGCTTCCAAGAATTTAGAAACAGATGTTTTCTTTTAGCCTCATAGTTTGATGTTGCCGCCGTGTTGCCATCTTTTCGCTGTACTGGTTGTTGGCAGGTTACAAAAAAATAACATGCTCCTCATTACTGGCCGATAGGGGCCAGTATAATCCTGTCTACTGTCCTGAGCATCTTTCATGCTGGCCCTGGGCCACCGGGCAGTCCTTATTGTTGAGCCCTGCTATGGTCTGGGACATACTAGATCGATATTCGAATACTATTTAGGATGGATAGCATGTGAATTGAAATGCAGCAGTTGTTTCTGCAATCCCGTAGGACGTAATGAAGACCACAATTTTCCTGATTGTACACTCATTACACTACAGCTTTGTATACGAATTTGCGCTCTACTGGTGACAATTACATGTGGTGCCTTTTAATGCAGTTTTATTTCCTCAAACGCTCCATTTATTTGATAAATGCACTGGCTCAACCAATGGTGTAAGTTGAGGGGCGGGTCGTTAATGTCTGACCACTGGCATGTGTGGACTGGAGAACTCTGGAAATCTTTTCCTTTTGTTTTGTTATGAGAGTGACACAGTTAAACATGATTGCATTGAAGAACCTAATTTAGCTTTATGATTCATGTTTGTCCTTGTTGTTTAATGGTTTCTTCACATTCACAGCCACCATGACTGACAGGAAGGCAGTAATAAAGAATGCTGATATGTCTGAGGACATGCAGCAGGATGCAGTGGATTGTGCCACACAGGCTATGGAGAAGTACAACATCGAGAAGGACATTGCTGCATATATCAAAAAGGTCATGTACAAGACATTTAGGATTGACACGTTTTTATTTGTACGATCAGATTTTAATTTCATATGCAGGTCTTCCAACAGGGGTCTTTTTGATCAAAATGCTGAAGTGCTACTTGATTGAACTACTGAGTAATATTACATTATTACATGCACTTACCATATGGTTAGGGTTAGAACGGGGGTTAGGGTAATTTACATGTAATTATGCAATATTACATGAGCCTAAAATTAATTTTATTAAATCATATTAATATTAAATCAGATTAAAATTCAAGTGTTTATATAATGGTGCCTGAGACTGGTTTCTATAATGACAGTTTTGATATTCTTTTGTTCAATTTGGGCTCTGCAATATTGCAAAAAAAAGATCACAAAATCATGTTTCATAGCATTCGATATCAATAATTATAGAATTTTTTTTCAAATACATTTAGAAATATTATAATTTTATGTACCCACTGTATTTTAATTTACCAGCATTACTAAGGCAAATGGTTTCAATAGTCAAGAACAAAAATATATAAACAAAATATCATCTTTTTATTATAAAATAAACAAATATTAAAGACACTCTTAAACTTGACAATGAATCTAATGCGTAAATACTGAACAATCCAAGCAAACTTCAAAGTGTGAATAATAATGATACAGTAAACCTCAAACTCTGTCAACAACACAAATTTCGATAAGTAAATCTGAGCTTTAAAGTAAAGAAACCAACCATTATTATTCGAACACATACTGCAACATTACAAATTGTGAAGTTGAATGACTACATTACCCCCTATGCTAAAAAAATATTTCGGATAGGGTGCTAGTAGCTCGGATGCACAAGAAAAGAAACCAAAAAGCCACTCTGGCAACATACTTCTATGCTTTTTATTTACATCTCCTTTTACTTAAATCTCCTTACTGCTGCTAGCCACGGCACTCATTTTCACAAATGTGTTATTATTCTGACCTTAAGTTACAAGCTTGTGGATTTCTTGACCATTTACAGTGGGCTTTGCGCTCTCGCTCCCCTGGTATCTCTCATAACTAGGCGACCATCTGATCAAGCGTTTCCTCAGATAATGACAAACAGGCAAACCATTGCTACAGCTCTGATGCAAGAAATGTGTATATTCCATACAAAGTGTGAAGCAGATAGGTTAGTTCCAAATTCAACTAGGTGCAGCTAGAAAATGTGCATGATTCTGTGCACAACATGTGCGCATCGATCCTATATGCATGCACTGCTTCCAAGGTGCGCACTCAGCAGCAACAGAAAACTATAGCACCTCATACCAAAACTACATAACAAATCTTTTTTTCTTTTTTTATGATATTGACAATAGTGTTTGTTCAATAAATATTGATAATGATTTTATTGCCCAGCCCCAAGTTCAATAGTATTATATTGATTTATTTTTTATTTTTTTAAAGAATTTTCATTTTTATAAACTGACTTTTAGTAATGAATAAATAAATAAGAACAGTTGCAATTAGATGGATTTTTTACTACTGGTGCCTTCAGAATGTATTAGGCCCCATATTTTAGTCATGCTTATCAGTGGAAATGTTAACATTTAAATCATTGTCATATCGACTATAGAAGTGTTTCTCTACCACATTCCCGGAGGACCACCGGTTCTGCACATTATCCATAGCTGCTTCTGAAATTGCAAACTTGTGTAAAAACAGTATGCGAGCCGAGTAGTATGTCCAAATTCATAGAATTCTGAAAACTGTATGTGAAAAGTACCCGGATGACCTACTACTACCAGCAAGATTCTGAAATAAGCATCTGATGCATGCTACAGTATCCCATGATGCACCGTGAGGGAATTTATGAATAGGAGTGAAGCCACTCAACTGACACCGCTAGGTCAAGTAGGTGATTTTCCTTAGCTGCGTCCCAAATCGCATACTTATGCACTATTCTACGCCATTTTGTAGTATAAATAGTGTAAGTAGTGTGTTCACACTGAAAACTCTAAAAATAATAAGTGCACTTTAATTACCCGGATGATGCACTCATTCAGCCGCTAAAATGAAGTGTATAATGATGGACACTTCACGCACTCAACGACCGCAGGTTTGCTTACGTAGCGGAAAGGGCGGAGCTATCGGACGCACATGTTGAATAACTTTATTTATTTTGGATGGTGAAAGCAAAATTCTCCTAAGAGAGTGATTATAGCGCCCCCCGATGGTGGATGCGGCAATACTCACGGCAGGTATTATCTGATAATTCGGTCGTTTATTTCACTGATTTGGCAACCGTCAAACGTCATCAGGGAAACGGTTTGAATTTCCGCTTAGTAAAAACACATTAGTGTGCCATTTGGGACAACACTACATACATATACTATCCTGTTGAGTGTGTAAGTGCATAAGTACATAGTGGATGAGTGCATAGTGTATAGTGTGCCATTTGGGACGCAGCTCTTGTCTCCTTAACCAAACACACCTGTCACCTTATCAGCTCATTAGCAGAGACTGAAAGACCTGTAATGGATGTGACAGACAAATGAGACATACAAAACATGCAGGGCTGGCGGTCCTTCAGGAATGTGGTTGAGAAACACTGGACTGTAGCATTCATTGTTGTTGTTGTTTTTTTATTTTTTTATTAATGAACTACTTGAAGGCAGAGTTGTGTTTTTCTGTGTAAATTGTTGAATACTTGTTTAAAATGAAACTCGCACAAATGTAGTTCATGTCAGATAATAATAATAATGTGATTTTAATAATGTGAATAATTTGAGTTAATATAACAAATATGTATTGTTACATTGCGTATAGCAGTTAGCATTAGCATTCAACAAGTAAGCCCTAATGCTCAGCTAAATGCTGCACTATCACCCACATTAGAGTGTATTTCATTAAATTAAATTTTAATTTGTTAAATTGTACATAATTAAAGATGGTCTTAATGCCTCTGGTACTGATGTATATGTGTATATGGTACTGATACACAATGTCATCACAGGCAGGGTTTAAATGCACTCGTTGATCTGTGAAGTTCCTCCTTATGATACTGAATACTGTCAGTGAAGTAATCATTTCTGTTTTTGCTTTTCAACAGGAGTTCGATAAGAAGTACAATCCCACATGGCATTGTATTGTGGGACGGAACTTTGGCAGTTACGTGACGCACGAAACGAAGCATTTCATCTACTTTTACTTGGGTCAGGTGGCCATCCTGCTCTTTAAATCGGGCTGAGGAACATCTGACAATCGTGAAAGCTGGACAGCAGATTTGGACTGTGATGCACTGAGGCTTGAGCCGCACACACACACACACACAAACATGCACACATGCTTACATTCTCTCTCTCTCACACACACAGACACACACATACACACACACACACACACACACACACACACACACAGACATTACTTTAGCTATAGAGGCTGTGCATAATTGCATGGACCGTGTATATTATTTTATTTGTATATGTTGCAATACAGTAACTTTTTTGCTTTCTGTAGTTGCACGAGATGACGCAACAAGATGTTTTGGGGTTTTTTGTTAGGTTTTTTCCAAGTCCAAATTTATTTTGCACTAAAGTTGTACAAAATGCTTTGACCGCTGCCTTTAAATTATATTAAAGAATGATATGTCATACTTATTTTGGGGTAGAAGGTGTTTTTCTTTTATTAGCCTAAACAGGAAAGTCTATATTCAGCATTTGGTTTAGTGTCTGGTTTATTTCTCTGTCTAGTTTATTTTAATTTTGACTTACAATTCTGTCAACTACTAGCAACTTATGCAAAGTTACCGCTTCAAGATTTTAGCCCTGATTTTGACCCGATGACAGGTTTTGAGGAATTGCCGACAAATAGACGAAATCACAGGCAAATCGGTGCTTGTTTACACGAGTAACAATCAATGTCGCAGACACCTTTCAGATATTTAGCGATTGGAATCATGTTGCTTGAAATATGTGCTGGTTGAAAATAACATCTGTAATCACCAACAACCAATGAAAGAGCAGTATCCACTAGTTGGGGTATCTGTAGGCCAGGGGTGTCAAACTCAATTCCTGGAGGGCCGAAGCCCTGCACAGTTTAGTTCCAACCCTGCTCCAACACACTTACCTGTAGGTTTCAAACAAGCCTGAAGGACTCAATTAGTTTGATCAGGTGTGTTTAATTGGGGTTGGAACTAAACTGTGCAGAGCTGCGGCCCTTTTGGAACTGAGTTTGACATCGGAGAGGTTGAGGGATGTCAAAATATTTGTTTCTTTAGTGCTCCTTGACACAGACAATTCTGTAACTGGTTATGTACTGATGTCATTTATCTCATATGCACTATATTGTGGTATCTTACTGTGGCGAGGGAGGGGAGCGCGAGTACGCTCGGACTACTTAAAAACGCAGGAACTGCACAAATATATTGCTGTGAGTTTGCTGAACAGTCTTTCACTGACACTGAAGTTAGAAGCCCTTGTTTCACTGTTATGGAGAAACTGAAAGTAAATCTCTCTCTCTCTCTCTCTCTCTCTCTCTCTCTCTGTGTGTGTGTGGCCCTTTTAACCTGTTGGCATGAGGTAACTTTTCCTCTCCTCTCAGCTGTTACAGCGATTCTTCTAGATACAGACACAAACGAGTTTACTCCTCCGCATCTATCATGGATCACCTGTGATCTCTGCTGCCGTTTATCAGTGTCACTTATCGGTAAACAGCGTCAGAGCCAATCGCAGCGCTTTCTGTTGAGTGTGTGACCAATCATAGGAGTGCAAGAACTCGCTCGACAAGGCTTAGAAAGCAAGCAGGATATTTTTATTTGTTTATTTGCTATAAATGCTCATGGTGTTTTAAGGACAAAATTGTATTATAAATAGTATATAAATAATATCTTTATAAATCTAATACAAGAATTCTTGTGCTGTGAAGGAAATGTAAAATTGTGTATGGAAAGCATCGTCGATGCACAGTGATACACCGAGATATTAAATTGAACTGAATCGGATGATAATTGTAACTGATCTGTGAAAACAGTGTAGGTTCACACCTCTTGTTAAAAGTGCGTCTTTTCGGCCTTTTTGGACCAAAGAAATGGAGGTAAAACTAGTGGAAATTTGACAGTAGCACCCATGTCTGTTTGATGTGTCATCTGAGCAATAAAACAACATCTCGGGGAAAAAAAAAAAGTTAATTCCCTAATTCCCTTTAATATCCAGGTGAGCAAAATAAGTGCATTTTATAACTCACTAAAGCTTTTTTCTAATTGGGTACATTAAAAAAATATATAATAATTTGATGGTTTATTTCTGGCATTTGGGGGTGGTGGGAAAAAAACGAAATAACGGCCGTTAAATTACATAAATTCATAGTAAAATTATAGACAGAATTACAGAAATTAAAATTTAAGGAAATTTCTATCATTTTAATGTCCGTTATTTTACAGTAAATTTCTGTAATTTAACAGCTGTTATTTTACGGTTTATTTCCAGCACCCCAGCTGCCAGAAATAAAACGTAAAATTAAAGTATTTTTTTTTTACAGTGTAGTAAAATAGTTTGTGGACAAAGGCAAAGTTGACTTCTTTTTTTGTCATTTTTTTTTCTTGTTGTTTGTTTGTTTTCCCTATTTTAAAATCAATCAGTTTGAAAAACTTTGTTGCTGATCCATCTCGCAGTGTAAACATGAAAATCATGCAGCCTGAACTCGGCATTACTTTACATCTGGCAATTTTGTTTATTTAATTTGGATTTTCTTTTTATTCTTTTACAATTCTGACTTCTACGCAGTAGATATGTGCATCCCACAATTCAAATAGTCTCATTCCTGACTGTTTCTTACAATCCTGAATTTACATCTCACAAATTTCTCGTAATCCTGAATATTTTCCACAATTAAGCTCTTTATTCACATTTTGCAATTTGTACATTTTCATGCAAATCCTCCAAAAGTGTATATCTCAAACTTCTACATGTGTTTTGCAATTGATGAGATAAACGTACCGTGGTAAGATTTTTTAACATGATCAATTATCTTCTTTTGCATCTTATAAAATACAGCTCACGAATTTAGAAAACTTCATTATCTGGGGATACAAGGGCACTTGCTGCATGCATTTTTGCTGAGGTATGGAGTATCCAAGCTGAGTTGAGTTACTAATGAGCAGACCTGTCTGAAAACAAGGGGCCATTAATGGGAGACAGTGCCTCTCCAGTTTCAAGGGCACGCATTTACTAAAGGCTTTGGTGCCTTTTTATGCATCCTTATGAAAGTATGTTTAAATATGTCAATAGTGCCCTTTGCGAACCCTTTGTCGCAACACAGAAACCCGCAGTGTGTTTCAGTCGCACTCCAAATAAATTATACAGCGTTGAGTTCAGTCTGTTCTGTAGCTCTGCTTATTGCAGACTGTGGGTTGTGTACATGTTCTAACACTTACTTATTTGTCTGTGGCTATTTGCAGAGAAGAATACAGATTTACAGCATTATACATGTCCATACACATAAGCAACTGTTGTAAAACCTCAACGATTGTCCCTCTGGTATTATCCATGGAACTTAAAAACGAATAGAGGTCCTTAAAAGTGCTTGAATTAAATTTGTTTATGCTTTTATTTTTAACAAGTCTTGTACAATAAGACTGACAAATAATGCACATTTTATCAATCTTTCAGAAACTGCATATATCACTAGTATTGAATTCAGCTAATTTTATTAAAGTTCCATGAACATGACCTTGTTAAAATGATCAATTTTAGAAAATTAAGTTCTTAATGTAAACCTGTTCATGCTTTTATCAGCAGCAGGGTGGATTACTGTAATGGACTTCCCACTGGCCTTACTCCAAAAAAGACAGTCAAACAGTTGCAGCTCATCCAGAATGCTGCGGCCAGGATTCTGATCAGAGCCAGGAAATCAGAGCACATCACACCCGTCCTCAGGTTTTTATACTGGCTCCTAGTTCCATTCAGACTAGATTTTAAAGTATTATTACTAGTTTGTAAATGAGTTGAGGAGTTCAGTTAAAGCAAGGTGAATCCGCCTTTAGCTACTGCGCCCCCTGCTGCTGGAGTTAGCTTAGAGCTGATCAGATGTGCTTCAGTAATAGGCACCTTCAAATCCAGACTGAAAACACATCTGTTTAGCTGTGCTTTTACTGAATGAGCACTGTGCTACGTCCAAAAGTTTGCACTATTATTTCTTTTTTTATTATTCTTTTATATTTTAATGTTTTAATCATTTTTATTTTCTTGTTTTATTCCTGTTTATGTTAAGCACTTTGAATTACCATTGGATATGAAATGTGCTATATAAATAACTTGCCTTGCCTTAAATATTAAGTACATAAAAGCATTTCATGGTGCTACATATGCTGGGGTATGAATTACAAAGGTGATTGATTTAAAATGAATGGTGTTTCCAAAAGGACTTGAGTCTGCTGTTTATGAAAGCATGGAAACCTTGATTGTCATATGTGACTGTGGACCGCAAAACCATCATCATATGTTGCATGCCTTTATTTTTTACAATAGGCAAAAATACATTGTAAATGTTAATAAAGTCGGTTGAATATTAAATAATGATTCATGAAGACAATTTTTAAATTTCTTACTGTAAGTATATCAACTAATTTTTTTGATTAGTAATACATTTACATTTAGTCATTTAGCAGATGCTTTTATCCAAAGCGACTTACAAATGAGGACAAGGAAGCAATTTACACAACTATAAGAGCAGCAATGAACAAGTGCTGTAGGCAAGTTTCAGGTATGTAAAGTGTAAGAAGCAAACCAGTAGTAATGTAAGTTTTTTTTTTTTTTTTGAGTACAATTAGCGGTAGAAGCAGAGAGGCAATTGCAGATTAGGAAGGAAAGTGAAAACTAAATAGTTGAGTTTTTAGTCGTTACTTGAAGACAGCGAGCCATTCTGATGCAGTTAGGGAGTTCATTCCACCAACTGGGCAGATTGAATGCGAGAGTTCGGCAAAGTGATTTCTTCCCCCTTTGGGATGGAACCACGAGGTGACGTTCATTCACAGAACGCAAGTTTCTGGAGGGCACATAAATCTGCAGAAGGGAGAGCAGATAAGAAGGAGCAAAGCCAGAGGTCGCTTTTTAAGCAAACATCAGAGCTTTGAATTTGATGCGAGCAGCAACTGGCAGCCAGTGCAAACGGATGAGTAGCGGAGTGACATGTGCTCTTTTAGGTTCAATAAAGACCACTCGTGCTGCTTCGTTCTGATGCATCTGAAGAGGGCTGATAGAGTTAGCTGGAAGCCCGGCTAGTAGAGAGTTGCAATAGTCCAGTCTGGAGAGAACAAGAGCTTGAACAAGGAGTTGAGCTGCATGTTCAGATGGAAGGGTCGGACCTTTCTGATGTTATAGAGTGCGAATCTGCAAGATCGAGCAGTTCCAATAGGCATCGCTGAGAACTTAATTTGTACACCTTTAAAAGCTGATTTTTCTTAATATTTTGAGTTTTTTTAACCCTCCATTTGCAGATTTTCATCCATACATGAACATAAAGCTTATTTGTTTGGGTGATATATAAATTCAATTTCCAAAAGTTACACTTAAGGTTGGTTTTGCAGTTCTTGGTCTCATATAACTTTATTTATACTATCAGAGGCCAAGTTGCAGCTTTTTATGTTTTAGTATTTCCTTT